CAGGTGACGGAGGCAGCGCAATTCACCAGATCTGTGCAGGGCCTGAGCTTGTTCCCGTTGAGCCCAACCGCCGTTTCGGTCTCTTGGTCTGTAGCTGTCGTATTTAACCACAGTCCTCGCTCCTAGGATTCAGCGAAGGGCAGACAGCCGAGAAAATCACTTATAATTGTGTGCATTTACATATATATCTATATGCACACTATACTGTGAAGCGGAGTCAATGACCCTTTTTTTATTCCGTTTTTAACGCAGGAGCTCAACACCCTGGGGTTTGAATGTACCCTTGAAGAGGTCGATCTTGAAGATATCACCAAGGATCAAATCAACACGATAAAAGCTTGCACATCGGAGGATCCACGGGTAAAAAAAAATACATATATCGAGTTTCAGCATGATATTTTCATGGAACAGATGTGTAATTCACACTTCCACGAAATCACCGTGTCTCATTTCTTCTTTAATTTGCAGACTGGAAACTGTCCAGCCCTGGAAGGATCTACTTTTGATACGGTAAATTGCCTGCTTCCCCAAAAGAACCCCTGCTTTTGCTTGTGCTACGTTTAAAGCATTTGACAGCGGATTCCTGCACTCCCTAATAATTCTGATTTTTGCAGAGTAAATGCCTGCAGGGCATCTATGAGGACCTGAAGGCCTACCGGGCGGAGCTGAGGAACAGCAATGACTCCAGCGTGCTGGCGACTATCGATGAAATGATGAAAGTAAGCATTTCCCTCTCCTGCCTTTCTGCCATTTCTGTCTTCTAACTGGGTTTTCGATCCAGTCTGCTCCGTTCTCTAGTGGTTAAATAGTGGCCTTGTTTCAGTCTGGTAATTTTAAAAATTACCAGTTTTCCTAGAAGGGACTCAATTCTTATGAATTCAGTGTCTGACTTCGTATTTTTGCCTCGCTGATGCGGTCAGCACATCGGGACTGAGACGCGTGGCTCCTTAGCAGCCCTCCTGCTCTCACGCTGCTCCTCTCTCGCAAAGAGATGGGGCAATGGGGTTTTTCTGCCGGGAACTCAGAAATGGAGTTGAAGATCGATTAAAAGGGACATAGCTCCCATTTCTCTTCCAAATACTGAAATGTAATACACCCGGTATACTGAACCCGAAATAGGACCTGTGAGTTTTGGTAAATATCATTAGTAAGTACAGGGAATAGATGTTAAAAGCTTACCAAAGCTACTTAAAAAAAAAAGTTAATTGCCTTTGTGCTGGACACAGCATCTCCCAATAGCCTGGCGATTCTGGCCGTGGGCAGATGAGCCCAGTGTGAGGGGTCACTAGACAAAGCCAGCCGTGGGCTTACTGTTAAAAAAGCATCTTTATTCCTGGGCAGAAAGAGCCTTTGTGCATGGATGGACGTTTTTGCCCCAAGGAAAGTACAGCTGCGCCATGCGGGGTCTATTAATTATATCATTCAATGTTTCATTCACGAGAACACATTCTTATTTTGAAGCCTTGTCATTTATCACTCGGAGGGTGAAAAGAATCTGAAGAGTTTTTTTGGTTTAGCCACTTTCTGGTGGTATTTATGATGCCCCTACCTCTCCGCAGGCCTTGCAGAGCAGCAACCGGAGCGTGCCGCAGCCGTCGGCCAGCGCGGGGCTGACCACCACCTTCAGCAAGAGGCTGAGGCTCTGCAGCATCCTCCACGCCTTCCAAATCCGCGCGGTCACCATCAACAGGGTGATGAGCTACCTGAGCTCCCCGGAGAGCTCGCTGTAAGCGCCCAGCCCTCCAGCGCTGTGGACGGAGTTTGGCCTGAGGATGTGCTGGAGAAAAAATAGTAGGGTCAATTAAAAAAATATATATATATAGTGGGGTCAACACCCTGCAAGGTGGGTGGGGGCTTTGTAGGAGCCGAGCGCATAATATTCCACAGTTTCTTATCAATCATGTTTTAGTGAGCTGTTGCCAGTGCCTTTTAAGCTATCATGTTAAATAACTAGATTCCTAGAAAATAAGCTACATCGTAGTGCCAAAATGTTCTCAAGCCACCGAACACTCAACTGTGATTTGTCTTGTTTTATTTATTCAGCTGTATTTTTCAGAAATTGAAACATATTTATAATAATCAACTTATTTATTATGATATTCCTTATTTATTCTATTTATAGCCTAATAAAATGAAAGTTTGCATTAAAAAAATGAGGTGACTTTTTTTTTTTTCCTGCCTTGACATAGAGCGTGAATACTTTTAAAATACTTTGAATATTGCTGGCACGTAAAGGCATACCCTTCAGGACTGGTATCATATTTTAAAATCCCATTTCCATCTTGTTACTTACATCAGACACGTTTCCAGTGGATTTTCTCTCGGCCTGAGCGCTCAAGGCAGCTCGCCCGGTTTCACTCTCATTCACAGCGATTTTCCAGCCAGCTCCATCGTTTCTGGGGTGAAATCCTGGCCCCCACCAGAATCAGTGGTCGAGTTGTTGGTTTCAGGGAGGCGAGGGTTTACATGTTCGGCCACGTCCCAGCCGGCTCCCACGCTGCCTCCGCTGCCAACGCGTTGTTCGTCAGCGCTCTCCCCTTGCTTGTTTTCTCCAAGCTCTGCCTTCCCACCTCTTTGGGGACCCCCAAACACCCCCCTTCCATGCTGAGGGGCCAGCGGGACGCCCAGCTCTCCCAGATGCCGAGGGGACAGCTACCATCCTCACCCTCTCCCTCCTTCCCCAAGTGTTGCCCACACCCCAGCCCTTAACAAGTCACCTTACAAACCCCCGCCGCCTGAACGAGAGCCGGGCTCCCCGCTCCCACAGACCACCCGCAGCGCATCCCGAGGTGCGAGGTCGGAGAAACCTCACGCTGCGGAGCCGAGATGCAGCGGTAATGTTTTCATTCCTTCTGCCTGCAAGAACTGGAGAAAGCCAAACTGAAGATCACCGAAACGCAATATACT